AGAGCTAATAGTAGAATTATATAAACTATTATAGCGCGAATAAGAAATAAGAATTTAAGGTATATAATAAGTTATATAATATTAAGCTATAAAGATATAAAGGTGTAGAGTAGATATCTACTATACTAAGACGCTAAGGTAGCTAAGGTTATATAACTAAGCAGGTAGGTTAGTACTATAATAAGAAGTAAGTAGAAGAGAAGAAGAAGTATAAAAGTAAAGAAAAGAAGAGTTATAGAACTTACTAGAAAGATATAAGAGGTAGAAGAGTTATAAACTATAACTCTTAGAATAGAATAGTAGAGAGTAGAAATTAGTAATATTCTACTCTAGCTTACTCTTATAGAATAAGAGAGAGAAAATAAAAAGAAAGTAGTCTAAAGATTAATAAGAAAAGATAACTCTAGAGAAAATAAAGATACTAATTATCTAAACGTAATATACTAGCCTCTCTCTATAGAAATTAATATAGTAAGTTACTATCTATAATAAGTAGAACCTAGACTAGAGAAATATAGAATAAGATATTAGAAAAGTATATTACTTATATTACTAAAAGCTACTAGAAAGGTTTTATACTATAGAAAATAAATTATTAGAGATAGACTCTAGAATACTTAGATATAAGCTAGAAATAGATAGTATCTAATCTATACTCTTCTACTAGAGTAGAAGTATAGTAAGAATAATCTTAAGAAATACTTAAGAGTACTTATATACTAGAGTTAAGATTAGTCTCTATCTACTTCTTTTTTCTAATACCTTTACTCTAATACTTTTACTACTATCTTTATCTCTAGAGATTTTCTCTAGATTACTATATATTATCTTACTCTTTATATATTAGTAAATAGCTATAATAGACTTTAATATACTTACTATAGCTAGAACTAGAATTATCTAAAAAATATTAGCTAGAATAGCTATATAGAAACTAGAAGAATATACTATAGCCTAGTAGAATAACTTATTAAGCTTATAAATACTATTAACGTACTTTATTACTAAACTCTCTATATTACTAAAACCTCTAAAAATACTAAGTCTCTACTAAAAAGCTACTATCTTATTTAGATTACTTAAACTCTAAGCTACTTAAGATAAATCTAGATAAGCTATCTAACTTATCTATATTATCTTTAACTACCTAGCACGTTTACGTGTTATACTCTAGCTTACTATAGTATTTATAGCGTTACTAAGCTAGCTAGCTATTATATACTACTACTTCTTCGCGCTACTTCTTACTCTTATTCTAATCTATAGCCTCTCTTTAAGTAACTAGCTATAAGCTAGCTTTAATTATAAGAGTATTCTCTTTCTAAAT